GTTGGAGCTTGTCCTGCTAGGAGTTTAAATCTGGGCTGAAATGCTGACAGAGCCATTCTCATACACACATGCAGGTGCTCATTGGTTAGCCTGCCCTGGAACAATATTTAGTTTTAGTTTTTCGACTGATCATATTGGGCTCTGAGACTGCTTTTTTTTTGTGAGCTCAGTTCTGACTTGAGAGTGAATGTTTGGTCAAACACTTTGTGTTTTGTCTCATAGTGGCGTTTTGGCACTTTTAATGAGCGCCACGGTCTCTGAACAAATGAGACACACTGGTTCTGTGCTCCAGGATGAACATGAGTCCACTCAGGGTTAAAGCTCTGTTCTCACTGTCCACTTTCCTCTTCTTGGAGAGCGCCATGTTTAATTATTTGTCTCACCCTGTATGCCGCTAACACACCTGTTCACTCTCCTCTCCACTTCTCTCCCTGTATCGTTAATTATTCTCTTCACTCACTTTCCTCTCCGCTTCTCTCTGCCGCTCTCTTGTCTCTTCTTTTGTGTTTCTCTCCCTGTATCGCTCACTCGTCTCTTTCGCCCCCTGTCGGCAGCGGTTAAAATAGAATCGCCCCGTCAAAATTGAAATCCCCTATTAATGTATTGATTATAGGTCCGGGTCCGTATAGGTCGGCGTCCGGACCGCCTGTTGCCGACCCCTGATGTAAGGGCTCAAATAATGCAGATTTCTTACTGCCTCAACGTTGCTTTTCTTTGACAGGACCATATGCTCAGAGATGGGCTCCCTCTCCTCTTGTGGAATCTGAAGTCTTTCCCACAGCTCCTTGATGGTGATCCGCAAAGATGAGCAGCGCAGCTCGTTCTCAGCCTTGCTTTCTTGTAACTGGAAGGAATCATATCAAACAATCAATTATACTATGAAATAATACATGATGTCTGTTTTAGACTTCTTTTAATCTGACCAGAGAATCAAATTCAAAAACATTAAGACACAAATGTTAGAAATTCACCTGACGGAGGAGAACTTTAAGGGCAGCAATGTTTTCATTTGAGAGACAAAATGCCTCCTCGTCCTCAGACATCACATCCATCTCAAAACTGGTCTCTGGATGCCGCTCCAGATCATCCATGCATACGGAGATCTCCTTTTTGAGGCTCACAAATTCATCATGACGACATTCCTAAAAAGATAACACAAGTTTACTTCCAACCGTTAAGAAAAAGGCATTGAGTATTTAAAATGAGCAGAACATCAGTGACACCTTCTCTTTGGTCAGATCATCCAGGTAGGCGTGATATGCCTCAAGTTGCTTCAGTGATGGGATGGCGGCCTGGTCAATGCCAAATGGGGTAGTGCACATAATGTCACACAGCTCACGGTCTTGTCCTAGGAGGCCCTTTAGGTCTTCCATTCTTTGCTTCTTCTGCTCCATCATCAACTCCAAACGTGTACGGCTATTCCTCTCAATCTGCAACATGGAGCAGCCCTCTTCCTCCTTGAGGAATCCAGAAAGTTAGTCCAAGAATTTAAGAAACTTTTTTTCCAGACAGTAATATGAAAACGCCTAGATATATTCCTGAACGAAACTGTACCTCAAAGGAAGGCAGCTGAAGTTGACGGCACAACGTGTTTTGCTCTTCAAGAAATGCCTGAATGTTTTTTATTAATCTCTTCTTTAGCTGCTCTTCCTCGGTAATCATCAGGTCCAACAGCCCCTGTAGGAGTAACACAACAAATCATTTGTAAACTCCGTCCGTAAGTCCAGACTTTACATCTTATTTAAACTGATGACTCACTTTAATGTGCTTGTGGACAGCGTTGGTTCTCTGTACGCGCTGTTCCTCTGGAATACCGATTTCATCCCAAATATCCTTCAGCCTAACCAGAGCTCTGTTGAGATAAGCAACAGACTCTGCTGCGTGGACTTCACTGGAAAAGAAAAGCAGCAGTGTGACGGGTACTTTTAAAAACACCGGTTACCAGTCAAACCAGTACAATATTAACGTTAGCGGTAGAGAATAATATCAAATCAAGTAACGTTAGCGGACTGTCAGTAGCAGAGGGCTAACGTTAGATACCGCTGGCCTAAATTGATGTATGCTAGCTCTCCCGAAGCTGTCTTGTAGCATTAGCTCAGCTAGCTGTAAAGTGAAATATTACCAGCTGGAGCGTTAGAATAGCATTCAACTTAATCATCATTTAAAGTTAGTCTTTGCAGCTTACACGGACGGCTACTCCGTCCCAGCGTGACACAAACTGTGTTAATTTAGCTAAAGCTAGCTAGCTTTATCTCGGCAGCCTAATCAGGAAATACGTTTGCTAACTGAATAATATTATTTAAGTGTAAACAATTTAGAACCAATTTATATTAAAAGTCTACGTTACTAACCTCACTCTCATGTTTCCACCGCAGACTCAAAACAAAAATAGAAAAACAGTCTTCCTAACGCAGAAGCGGTCCTAACTATGAAGTCTCGGAAGACGGTTCGGTTGTGGTTTGTCCACTCTACGGATTTGAAATCTGCACCGAAACCATATCTGCGCTCCGATTGGCTGGTTGGAGTGACGTCACCGGAAGTTGTTTTTAGGGCGGTGATTATTTAAACATTTCAAATGTAACACACGGGTTTGATGGATTGAGCCGAAAAACATGTATACTATTTACCGATCCATACATTAAGAATCCGTTTTAAATCATGCCTTTTGCTTTTGCAAGCATATTTAGTTTCCCAAATGATTAGCTAACTGTTTTAAACGAGTAAAAAAAAGTACAAGTGTGCTTTAAAATAAGGTAGGTCAGTCTATCTAAAAACATAATTTAATTAAATTAATTTTTTCAGTTGTATGTGTCGGTTTCAGACATATATTTAAAAACCTGCCTTTGGTCTGTGTTTCCCAGTCTATTTTGGTCTGGGTCTGACTCATAGACTGTATCAGAATCAGAATCAGAATACCTTTATTAGTCCCACAGAGGGGACATTTGCAGCGTTACAGCAGGAAAGAGCCACAGACAGTTTAGTGTTGCATATCTGAAATGCATTAAAAAAGTACTAAGTTATAATATAATAAACAAACAACACAACAATATGCTAAAAAAGTACTAAGTTATAATATAATAAACCATATGCTAAAAAAAGATAAAAAGTTACATAATTTTCAAAAATACGGATCAAAAACAAATCAAATCCTGTAGCAGTTCTTAGGATTTAGCAGCCCGGTATATATTACAGTTATTAAAGATGCATATGTATATAAAGTATATATTGCACATAAAGCACATATTGCACATAGTTTGACGATATCATTATTGTATATTATATATATTATTGTATATATAAAGGTCTGACTCAGCCAGTGTTTGCTGTGTTGCTCATGTTGTTGCCTCAGGTCAGGTGTAGCCTAGCTCAGGGGATCCCAATATTTGCCATGCCAAGGACCCCCATATAGCATTATCCTCTGGTGGGGACCCCCCCTGTTGTAATTTTTTTTTAAATGATGAGTACGTTATGATGGAAAATATGA